CCCCAAAACCCCAAAACCCCAAAACCCCAAAACCCCTTTTGGTGAGTATTAATTATTAAAAACACTCTCGATGGAAACTATCGCAGAAAGATGCAAGATCTTGTCTCCATGCACCATCTGGCTTACAGGCCTTAGTGGAGCAGGTAAGACAACCATAGCAGAAGCTTTGAAGAAAAGAATCGACGAAATGACTGGAAGCACTAACGGCACATTCGTCCTTGACGGAGATGTTGTTAGACAAGGTTTAAACAAGGATTTGGGATTTTCAGCAGAAGATAGAACAGAGAATATTAGAAGAATCTGTGAGGTAAGAACTTAAAACAACTCCTTTATGAAAAAGACCAAATACTAATGTTATTGTATAGGTGTCTAAACTCTTCGCCCTTAGTGGAAAGATATGCATTTCCTCATTCATTTCCCCATATGAGAAGGATAGAGCATTTGGAAAAGAAATCCACGAAAAAGAAGGTCTTAATTTCTTTGAGGGATACATATCTGCTTCCTTAGAAGTTTGTGAGGGAAGAGATATTAAAGGTCTCTACAAGAAAGCTAGGGAGGGAATCATCCCCAACTTCACTGGAGTGAGTGATCCTTACGAAGTTCCTGAGAACCCAGATATTAACATCCCAACAGGAGACAAGACTATTCAGGAATGTGTCCAGCAGGTTATCGAATTTTTGGCCAACAAGGGTGTGCTCAGTGCTAAATCAGCTTATGAACTTGATATTGAAGAGTTGTATGATCTTGATGACAAACTCGCTGAAGAGGCTGAAGAATTAGAGTCTATTAAAATTGATGAAGAAAGAATCCAATTCTTGCATGTGCTCGCTGATGGATGGGCTGGAAAGCTCAAGAACTTTATGAACGAGACCCAATTATTAGAATCTCTTCATTACAACACTGTGACTGCTGACGATGGAGAGCAGTTCTTACAGAGTGTTCCTATTACTTGCCATCTTACAACTGAAGAGATGGAGAAATGCCAGGAAAAAGAAAGAATCGCTTTAAGACATAAAGAATCCAACATGGTCTTAGCTATAATCGAAAAGCCAACATTCTTTGCTAACAGGAAAGAAGAAATCAGTGCCAGAGTGTTTGGAACTCTTTCAAAGGAACACCCAAAGATTCAGAGAATTTTTGAAGAAGGAGACTACTTGGTTTCAGGAGAAAGGCTCAGAGTGTTATCAAAAATCACATATGAAGATGGACTTGATGAGTATAGACTCAGTCCTACACAGATTATGAAGATCGCACAGGAAAAAGGAGCTGACTGTATCTATGGGTTCCAACTTAGAAATCCTCTCCACAGTGGACATGTGATGCTTCTTAACTCTACAAGAGATAAACTTATTGAAAGAGGATATGCAAACCCACTTCTCCTTCTTCACCCATGTGGAGGATGGACTAAAGATGACGATGTTCCATTGAACATTAGAATGGAGCAACATCAAGCTTTAATCTCAGATGGAGAACTTTCGGAATCCCAGACAATCCTCGCAATCTGGCCATCTCCAATGTTTTATGCTGGTCCAACAGAAGTTCTTTGGCATGTTGCATCTAGGCTAAATGCTGGAGTAAATTACTTCATTGTTGGTAGAGACCCAGCAGGAATAGGCCATCCTGAGTTAGAAGGAGAAAATCTTTATGATCCATTCCACGGACAGAAAGTACTTGACCTTGGAAAGGACAAATTCCACAGAACTGTTGAGATCATGCCGTTCAAAGTCGCTGCTTATAACAAAGGTAAGTTTCCCATTTATTAAAGTGTCTAAAATTAAATCTAGTCGAAAAGAAAATGGCCTTCTTTGACCCATCCAAAGCAGCAGACTTCGAATTCATTTCAGGGAGCAAGATGAGAAAGCTTGCCAGAGATGGAGAGACTCCTCCTGATGGTTTCATGAACCCTAAAGGATGGGAAGTTCTCAGCAACTTCTACAAGAGTCTGTCTGATTAATCTACTTCATTACCCAGCTTAATTTTTGTAAAAATTCTTAGCTATCAGCCCACTTAAAATACTTAATGAATTCTCCATATTTGTTCTTATTCTCCAATTCTACAGCATTTTGGAGGGGTTTTGGGGTTTTGGGGTTTTGGGGTTTTGGGG